CCTGCCTTTCTTGCTTACTGGCTGTGCTAACATCACCCTCTCTCTTCCTGCTTCTGCCCTTATGCCCCAAAAGGCTGCCCCAGCTCCTCTCAGAGGCCCGCCTGGGTGACCTGTGTGCTCTCCCCACAGGGTTCCCAGCCCTGTGCTCATCAAGAAGTTCTCTGACACCTCCAAAGCCTTCATGGAGATCATGTCAACTCAGGCCAGCAGCGGCTCCACTTCTGTCCTCCGATGGGTTAGTGTCAGGCTCAGTGTCCCTCTGCCGTCTTCCAGAACCCCTCAATTGGGCCAAAGCCCTCTCCCTTCCCCCAGGAGGGGTTTAGTCTGTGGACCCTCAAATAGGTTGATCCCTCTGGGGTTTCTGGAGTTGGTAAGAACCTGGGCCCTTTTTGCTCCTGGCTAAGGCTGGGAGCTGAGGGACTCTGACTTTTTTCCTCAAGGTCCTCTCCTGCCTGTCCACTCTTCTTCGGAAGCAAGACCTGGAGGCCTGGGGCTACCCCATGACCCTTCAGGTATACCATGGGCTGCTCAGCTTCACCGTGCACGCCAAGCCCAAGGTGAGACTACCAGTTCCCAGAAGATGGTGGGGGGGGGCAGTCCAGACAGTGCTGGCCTGTCTGAGTGTGGTGGGGAGCTTGCCCCGAGGACTGAGCTCCTGCCTGAGGCTCTGCTTTCTGCCTCAGACCTCGAACCACATGGTTTGAGCTCCATACCTTACAGCTTGAAAACCACAGTGGACTGTGTGCATGTATGCCCAGAATCCTGAAAGGAAATGGAGCAGAGGGATTGCAGTGCGACGCCTCAGGGGATGTGCGTTCTCACTTGTTTTTCTATCTCTGGCGAGGGCACGTACTCTGGTGAATTACAGGAAACATGCACACACACATACTTTCTAGTACGTTTATTCCTGCCTCCCAAGTAGGACGTGAGTTGTCTTCTGCTCACTACCAGTTTGCCAGAATGTGGGACGAGGCCTGCCTTGGTAGACACTCAGTACTTGGTGCACAATTGGATGAATGAATAGATGCATTTTAAAGATGAGAACACTGGGGCCGGGCAGGTGGCATGGTGGTTAAGGGCGTTGGACTCCCACACCGCCGATCACCACAGTCTGAGTCCTGGACCTGGCGACTTGCTTTATCACTATCACTCCCCCTCTCTCTCTGGTAAAAGTGAATACTACTACTACTACAACATAAAATTAAATAAAGAATTAAAAAAAAGAAAAAGATGAGAACATCGAGGGGTCAGCAGGTAGTGTGGTGGTTAAGGCACTGTGCTCCCACGTGGCCACTTCTAGTCCCAGGCCTGGTAACCTGAAAGTCACACCAGGCGCGCGTGTGTGTATGTACACGCATGTACGTGCACGCCCAAAATCACAGGAGGAGAATGGAGGAGAAGGGTTTGCTGCGTGGCCGTCTGCCCTGGGGGATGTTTCTCACTTTCCCTGTCTCCTTCTCTCTCCGGTGAGCACATGCACCCTATGGTAAAAATCTAAAAAAAAATGGGAAAAAGAGAACACCAAGACTCAGAGGTTAAGGACTTGGGCCTGCTCAAGGCTAGCTGATGGGTTGGTGGCAGAGCAGGGAACTGAACCAAGGTCTGTCTTGCTGCACAGCACGGGGTTCTGTACATATTGAGGGCCTGGCCTGCAGTAGGTATCTAATCAAAGGTTGGTTGGTGTTGGTACCAAGCACCCGAGATTCTGGTTGAACGTTTGTCCTGCCCCGTCCTCCCTTTGCTTGCTCCTCAGATCCGGAAGGCGGCCCAGCATGGAGTGTGCTCCGTGCTCAAGGGCAGTGAGTTCATGTTCGGTGAAAAGGCCCCCGCCCATCACCCTGCAGCGGTCTCCACTGCCAAGTTCTGCATCCAGGAGATTGAGAAATCTGGAGGTGGGGAGCCCAGTTGAGGAAGCACAGGGGGCTGCAGAGAGGGGGCTGGTGTCTCAGTTGCCCCTCTGTCTGCAGGTGCCAAAGAGGCCACGACCACACTGCACATGCTGACGCTGCTGAAGGACCTGCTAGCCTGCTTCCCGGAGGGCCTGGTGAAGAGCTGCAGTGAGACCCTCCTCCGGGTCATGACCCTGAGCCATGTGGTGAGCTCTGGCCCCTGGAGGAAGGGGGCCCACAACTGTCATGTTTAAAGAATTCGCTGTTTGGGACCAGTATCATAGCTTTAAATTATATTACGGGGCTCGGCAGATGGTGTGGTGACTAAGGGGCTAGACTCCCATATAGCTGACTGCAGTTCAAGTCTCAGACCTGGTGGCTTGCCTTTTCACTTTCCCTTTTTTCTCTGGTCAAATTATAAATAAACAGATAGGGGCCCAGCAGATGGTGTAATGATTATGTCACTGGACTCCCGTGAAGTCAGTCACAATTTGTGTCCTGGATCTGGTGACCTAACGCTAATGCTAGTCGTGTATCCAGGCATGCCCTAAATCCTGAGAGGAGAATGGAGAAAGGATTGCAGTGTGGCTATCCCCTTTGGGAGGGTGATTTCTCGCTTTTTGTCTCTCTCTCTCTCTGTCTTTCCAGCGAGAGCCCACACCCTATAGCAAAAAAAATCTCTTAAAAAGATAAATAAATCAGGGCCAGCAAATGACATGGTGGTTAAGGGCGCTAGACTCCCACATAGCTGACCACAGGTCAAGTCCCGGACCTGGCGGCTTGCTCTCTCACTTTCCTTCTCTCTGTCTTAACGTTTCTTTCCTTCCAAGTCTAGTTCCCTGAGGTAAATAGTGCCTGCATCTGGCTGTGCATCTTTTCAGATGTTTTCTCTAAACACAGGCTGTCTGCATTCAGCAGAGACACAGACACAGAGGGAAAGTGACGGGGATGGCCATGCCACAATCTCTTCTCCATTCTCCTCCTGGGATCTTGGACACGCATGCACATGCACCAGGTCTCACACTACAACCATATCTGGCCACATGGGAGTCCAGTAACGCGTCCGCTACGCCCTCTGCTGGCGCTGTGCTTCTCTCTGTAAAGACCCACACAACATGCAGGAACTGGTCTCCCGGCAGTTTGCAGACTGGAGAGCCTGCCCTTTGTAGCTCATTGTCTTGGAAATGTTTTGCTCATGTTTCTCCATTGTCTTTAATCAGTTAAAGTTTTCCTCTGTGGCTGCCATGTCTTCCTGAAGTGATAGTCCTTAAGAGTGTCAATGGGAGGGGGTACCTTTGGGGTTCAGGGGCCCTTGGCTCCCCTGTAGCCCATTGGGCAAAGGCGGGTTTGAGGGCAGCTGTGGGCTTTGTAGTTTCCCTCTAAGCCTGTCTCTCTCCTCCAGCTGGTGACAGCGTGTGCCATGCAGGCCTTTCACAGCCTCTTCCACGCCAAGCCCAGCCTGGGCACCCTCTCGGCAGAGCTCAATGCCCAGATCATCACGGTGAGGCCTGGTTGTGGGGGAAGTGCTGGCAGATCCCTGTGAGGCTGCACGGGTAGGGCACTGCCCTGCAGCTTGTCTGCAGAGTCACTTTGAATGTGCTGTTTGTTCTAGTGAAGGAAGCCAGGGGACAGGCAGATAGGAGCACCAGAGCAGCAGAGTCATGCTCGTGTACTTGGGAGGGGGGTTCCGTGGCTTTCGTCAGACACAAAGGGGCGCGCAGCCCGTGTGGGCTCCCCACTGCTCCTACAGGCTGTTCTCCCAAAGAACCCAAACCGGAGAGCATCACAGAGCAGGAAGAGGCAGGAGCCAGCACTATGTTTTCCGGGCTGTCACCAGGACATTGTTGCTGTCCTGCAGGGGGAAGGGGCTGCTATCCATGGGGCTGCTACCGATCGCACTTGCTCAGTCGCCTGCTGTTCCCCTCCCACCTCCAGGCCCTGTACGACTACCTTCCCAGCGAGAATGACTTGCAGCCCCAGCTGGCCTGGCTGAAGGTCATGGAGAAAGCCCACATCAACCTGGTCAGGTAGGGGTGAGGCAGAGGCCTCCCAGGCCCCATCCAGGCCTCCTGTTCTATGTCATGGAGGGAGAGATCTGAGCTAAAAGCTGGGGAAATGCTTGTTTTTGTGAGGCTCGGAGCAGGCAGTGCAGCCCTGACAGCCAGGTCACTATCCTCTCCTGCAATGGCCTGTTAGCCGGTCATCCTTTCCTGCAGGGGCCCTGCGGGCCGCGTCACTGTCCTCTCCTGTGGTGGCCCTGTGGCTGGTTGTCCTCTCCTATGTTGGCCAGCTAGCTAGGAGCAGCAGCTGGGTGGGCCAAGAGCACCAGCGCCGGGTGGGGCCTGAGCTCCATCCTGATTCCTGGCCCTCGTGGATGTGTAAGCTGTGCCTTGAGCTCCTGGTCTGGGCTCCACAGCTCCTCCCTGTCTCTGCATTGCTCTCAACACTCATTCACAGTGGGGCCGGGCCACTCCCTAGTAACGCCACTTCTCTAGGGTAAGTCTGAGGAAGAACGAGAGCACAGTAATCGCTGAGATCACTGCCACTGTGGCACAGCGCCCAGGCCAGGGTCTCCCACACCGGCGGCTCCACCGGCCGCTCATCCTCCCCTGTCGGAGGCTGCCTCGGCCTGCTCTGAGGCAGGCACGGCTGAATGCTTTGCCTCTCTTATCTCACCACACCGATCACAGCAATCCCATTGGGAAGATCTTAGCTCTGTGGGTTTGTTTTGTTTTTTTAATTTTTTGTTTATAGTTATTTAATTTTATTTATCATCATCATTATTTTTAGCTTGTTATAGGGCACATGTGCTTGTTCACCAGAGAGAGAGAGAGACAGAGAAAGAGAGGGAAAATGAGAAAGCAGACTGCCAGATTCAGGACGTGAACCATGGTCAGCCATGTGGGAGTCTAACGCCCTAACCACCATGCCACATGTTGGCCCCCTTAACTCTCTTTTATAAACCAGAAATTGGGATTAGTCCATGGCTTGGTGGTTAGGGCAGCTGGATCCCATGTGACTGACTGCACAGTTTAGGTTCCGGGCCCAGCAGTTTGAGGAACACACCAGGCATGTGTGCGTGTGTGTGTGTGCCCCAGGCACGTGTGCATGTGTGTGTGCAAAATGCCAAGAGGGGATTGGAAAACGGATTGCAGTGTGATTCTCTGCCATGAGGAGTGCTTTCTTGCTTTCTGTCTCCCATGTGCCCTTTGGCAAAAATTAAAAATTAAATGCAAAAAACAAAAACCCCTGAGGACTCCGGGAAATGAGGGAGATAGTCTCCCAACTTCTAAGGGGCAGAGCTGGACCTCTTCCCATTCTTTGTGCCACACGGCTTTTCACCGGGAGAATGACACTCGCCTCTCAGCACTTCTCAGCTTATGCTGCAGGAGGCCCGTGGTTGTGCCACATGTATCCCAGGGTGCTCACCACAGCACTGTAGGTGATGGCAGCAACCCGGGAAGGGCCGGGCTGACTGTGACCGGAGGTGCAGGGAGCAGGTACGCCACCTGGTTAGTCACGTGTCATCCCGCAGTGGGGGTCCGTTCTGAGAAATGCAGCCGCAGGTGGTCTCGTCTGGGTGCTAGCTAGCATCACAGAGTACCATTCCGTAGACCTGGATGACACAGCCGCTACACCTTGACCACCTGGTAAGAGCTCGTGAGTCTGGGGCCAGCAGGTAGCATGGTGGTTAAAGGTGCTAGACTCCCACTTTGCTGACCTGGTTCAAGTCCCAGACCTGGAGGCGTCCTTCCTCTCTCTCTCTCTCTCTCTCTCTCTCTCTCTCTCTCTCTCTCTGTCTCTCTCGTGCATGCATGCGCTGACAATTAAAAAAAAAAAAAAACATGAGTAACCTGGAGGCGTCCCTCCTCTCTCTCTCTCTCTCTCTCTCTCTCTCTCTCTCTCTGCCTCTCTCGTGAATGCATGTGCCCTATAGCAAATTTTAAAATAATAGTAATTAAATAATTCTTGGGACCAGCAGATGGGACCAGAAGTGGTTATGTTGCTGGACTTCTACATGGCCAACCGCAGTTCAAATCCTGGACCTGGTGGTTTGAAAATCATGCTAGACGTATGCACATGCATGGCCAAGATCCTGGGAGGAGAATGGAGGAGTAGGGATTGTGACATGACCATCCCCCCTGGGGGGTGATTTCTTGCTTTCTGTGTCTCACTCTGTCTTCGACAAGCACATGTGCCCTATAGTAAAAGTTTCTCTTAAAAAAAATCCAAAACTTTAAAAAATAAAAGCTTGCGGTTCAACTGCGGTGTGCCCTCCGCTCTGGCTGGCATGCCACCGTGTAGTGTGACTGTACCCATGTTCGTGTGTGGAACCAGATTGCTGGGGCGCCGACCTAGCCCAGTACACCGACCCGTGTGGCTTTGAGCAAGTTACATGATTTCTCTGTGTCTGCTGCTTCATCTATAAAATGGTAATCATGAAAGGACTTCAGGGCCAGCAGGTAGCACGGTAGTTAAGAGCGCTGGACTCCCACGTGGGCCAACTGCGGTTCAAGTCCTAGACCTGGCGGCTTGCTTTCTCACTTTCTCTCACTCTCTTGCTCTCTCACTCTGCCCCTCTCTGGTCAAATTAAAATAAAGTTAAATAAAATTTTTAAAAAATCATAATAGGATTTGGGAACCAGCAGTTAGCGTAATGGCTATGTCGCTGGACTCCCACGTAGTCGACCGCGGTTTGCGTCCCGGACCTGGTGGCTTAAAACTCACGCCGGATGCGTGTGCGTGCGTGCCCAAGATCCCGAGAGGAGAATGGAGGAGAAGGGATTGCGGCGTGACCATCCCCCCTGGGGGGTGATTTCTCGCTTTCTGTCTCTAATGTCTCTCTCTCTCTGTCTGGCGAGCGCACGCGCCCTATAGTGAAAATCTCTCAAAAAAAAAAAATCATAATAGGACTTCATCTCATTAGTGATTGCAAGGTTTAAATGAATTAACGTGTGTTATGTCAGTGGTTGGTACTTGATAGTACATAAATGTTTGCAGTTGTCAGCATTTGGTATGTCTGTGTTGGGTCAAAACTTCTAGAAGAGCATTTAAGAAACTTAACCTTGAATTTCCCTCTGGGAAGTACATCCGAGGGCCAGGACAGATGCAGGGTGCCTTGGGAGCGGCCACCCTTCGTTTTCTGGCCCGGGGCCTGCTGGGCACCTCTCCCTGTGGAGTTCCTCTGGGAATGGGTGCTCTTGCTGTGTTGCTCACCGGGAGGGCCCTGCAGGGCCCTACAGAGCCCTGCGGGTCCGGGATCTTTCTCAGACCTGGGCCGTCTGAGGATGGAGCCCTATCTGCCAGGCCCCACAGAGAACTTTGTCTTAACAGGCTGCAGCGAGACCTGGGGCTGGGCCACCTCCCTCGCTTTTTTGGGACTGCGATGACCTGCCTCCTGTCCCCACACTCGCAGGTGGTGACCGCTGCCACCCAGAGCCTCAAGGTACTGTCACTTCCCTGGCCCGGCTCTAGGTGAGGGCAGAGCGTGCGGAAGTCCTGCCTGCTGCCCTGTTTCTCCAGCGCTCGTCCGACCACCATCTCAGTCCCAGGGGAGGCTTCCTAGAAGCTTCCTGAAGCAGCCATCAGGGTGGGTCGAATAGTTCTGGGGACTACAGAGGGCCTAGACATTCTGTGGCCTCCTTTTGCAGGAGATCCTGAAGGAATGTGTGGCACCCCACGTGGCTGACATTGGCTCTGTGACCTCCTCAGCCTCGGGCCCTGCCCAGTCCGTTGCCAAGATGTTCAGGTGGGTTGCACATGTGGGGTGAGGGCGCCTTGTAGCTCTGGTGTGACACCCAATGGCACTTGCGGCTTGCCGTGGCCACACACAGCCTGGGCGCTCGGAGTCAGCTGTGGGCCGTCATCTCCCAGACCAGCTGCTGTCGCCACAGGCAGACTCTGGAGCCCGTGGGTGTGAGTCCGAGCCCTTGGAGCATCCTCATTGAGGGAGAGTCAGGGCGGCGAAGCCCCAGAGTGGCCACCAGCACATGCGAGCTTTCAGCACAGGAGTGAGAAGCTGTGGCACTGGGAGATAAGCACAGGCTGAGTGACAGCCTGGCCAGAGTGTGCTCGCTCCTCATGTGCCGTGCTACCCTCCGCCCTGTGAGAGGAGCCACTCACTGCCACGACCACCGTCCACCTTCACGCTCCCAGCAGGGCAAGGGACGTCGCTCAGCCCAGCACCCCTGAGCAGTCCCAGGAAAGGGGTGTAGCCCTTGGTGTCTGCCCTGGTCTGTTTGCTCCTGGAGCCAGCTGCAGAATTCCTGGTGGGGCACAGGGTGGCGTGCCCATGGCCCTGACTGCGCGCTCCTTGGCAGGGCGGTGGAAGAGGGGCTGTCGTACAGGTTCCATGCGTCGTGGGGCTCCGTGCTGCAGCTGCTGTGCGCCTTCTTCGCGGCATGCGGGAGGCAGGCCCACCCTGTGATGAAGAAGGTGAGCTGGGGAGCCCAGGCGTGTGAGTTCCCGGTCTTGGGGCCCGGCTGTGTGCTCCTGGAGGCGCCTGTCTGCTGTCTCTGCACTCTCCCCAATTCCCTACCCCTACGCCGACTGTGTCCATAACAGGTGCCAGTGCAGTGTCCCCAGGGAGGTGACTGGGCCATCGTGGGAGGAGCAGGGAGGGGTGGGCGGTCTCCCTTGCTGCCACCTGCTCACTACTCTTTGCTGGAGTTGCCCATCTCAACCCTGGGAGCCAGTGTGGCTCTCCCTTCCCCACTCCTGTCTGTCTACGCGTCTAAGTGTCCACAGCAGGTGAGTAGGTGTTGATGTCTAAACAGCCAGAGGTCCAGGACCAGCAGTTAGAGTAATGGCTATGTCACTGAACTCCCATGTAGTCGACCGCAGTTCACATCCCGGACCCGGTGGCTTAAAAACTCACTCTGGGTGTGTGTGCGTATGTGCCCAAGATCCCGAGAAGAGAAGGGATTGAGATATGGCCATCCCTCCTGGGAGGTGATTTCTTGCTTTCTGTCTTTCTGTCTGTCTCTGTCTGGCAAGCGCACGCGCCCTGTAGCAAAAACTTCTCCAAAAAAAATAAGAAAGAAAGTAAACAGCCAGAGGTCCCAAGAAGGTTAGTCCAGGCCAGAGTACACTACTTTAGGTTCAGGGTGACCCAGGGATCCCAAGCAGACCCCAGCTCCAGGAGAGGGTGCAGGCCTGCACACACCCAGAGTCAGGCGGGGCCTCAGCAGCAGGTGGGACAGCCCTTGGCCTCATGGGGCCTCTGCCCAACTCTCTCCTTTGCTGGTTGGAGAGAAGGAGCCACCCTGGAGGCAGGCATGGGCTTATAGGTCAGGTTGGAAGACGGCTTCCTCCAGGAGCCCAGGCAGTTCCATGGAAAATGAGGCAGTCGGGCCGGTGAACTGAGGGCACGGGGCTGCCCAGGCAGCACCCGCCGATTTGCCGATGGTCATGTGCGAGTCTGCCATTGTCGTGCCTTCCCACTTCTCACCGCGAATTGGAAGTTGACATCCGTGTGAAATACCCTCTACACATTGGCAAATGGAACGGAGCTTTGGAAGGCCTGGGCCTATGGGAGGGATCGGCACATCGGTGGGCTGTCCTGTTAGCAGTCTGCAGATGGTATAATGGCTATGTCCCTGGGCTCCTACATCGTCAACTGTGGTTCGAGTCCCAGACCCGGTGGCTTGAAACTTATGCCAGGCATGTGTGTGTGCGTGCCCAAAATCCTGAGAGGAGAATGGAGGAGAAGAGATTGGTGTCGCCATCCCCACTGGGGGGTGATTTCTTGCTTTCTGTCTCTGTGTCTTTGGTGAGCGCACAGGCCCTATAGCAAAAATCTCTCCAAAAATTTTTTGAAAATAAATAAAAATATCAGTCAGTGCCCTTAGGGCAGAGCTTAACCTGGGCCAGATCCCAGCCTCCTTCTGGACACTGGCCCAGGCTCAGTCATGGGTCCCTGCTCTGTGAGCAGCCCCCGAGGTGTCATCTTTTCTCTCTACTTCAGTGTCTCCAGTCTCTGTGTGACCTGCGCCTGTCCCCTCACTTCCCTCACACGGCAGCTCTGGACCAGGCGGTAGGGGCTGCGGTGACCAGCATGGGACCCGAGGTGGTGTTACAGGCTGTGCCTTTGGAGATTGACGGCTCTGAGTAAGTGTGGCCCTGGCTGGCTCTGCTGGAACCCGGATGTCAGGTGGCGTGTCCTGCCCTGGGAAAGGCTGGGGTCTGCTGTGTCGTGGTTCAGAGAGCCAGCAGAGGCTGTCCTCCAGCCTGTCACCTTTCCCTCAGAGAGACCCTGGATTTCCCACGGAGCTGGCTGCTGCCTGTCCTCAGGGACCACATCCAGGAGACCCGGCTTGCGTTCTTCACTGCCTACTTCCTGCCGCTGGCCACCACCCTGAAGAGCAAAGGTATGGCACCCATGGCATGACAGCCTCGGGCGCAGAGATCCGGAGGCTCCGAGCCCAGCACATCCTGCCTGCAGGGCGTCCTGCAGCAGCCATCTGCCACCGGAGGCCACCGGGCCTTCTGCGGTGGGCATAAGCAGGCACTTGGGCCCTGTCCTTATCCCATGGACCACAAAAAACAGTTCTGCCCCTTCTTCTTCATATGTGTCTTTGAGATACTCCTTTTTATTTTTACTTTGTTACTGTAATCATCAGAGGGTGCACTTGCCAGAGAGAGATGGAAAGGGAGGAAGCACCCTCCAGCTGGGCGTGACTACGCCACAGTCCCTTCTCCATTTCTCCCTCCTTTCAGAACTTAGGGGCACTGGGGGCTGGCAAGTGCCATGGCAGTTAAAGGCACTGGATTCCCACATGGCTAGGTACAGTTTGAGTCCCAGACCTGGCAGCTTTCCTTTCTCTCTATTTCTCTCTGGTCAAGTTAAAATAATAATAACAACAAATAGGATTACATAAATAAAACATTAAAAAAATAACTTAGTGGCACTCACACACATACTCGGTGTTTTTTGTTGTTGCTTTTAGGGAGTGTGTGATCACCAGAGAGAAACAGAGAGAGGGACAGTGAGAAATCACCCCCCAGAATACCTTCTCCATCCTCCTCTTGGAATTCTGGCTGCACATACACGTGCACCCAGTGAGATTCTCAAGACCCTGGTTCCAGGTCCTGAACCGCAAATGTAGGGGTCCAGCTCCCTAAACACCATACCAACTGCTGCCTCACCCTACCCCTGGTGTATTTGTTAAGCCACCAGGGTTGTAATTTGAACCACAGTTGGTCATCCAGATCCCGTAACCAGTAGGCTACAGGGCCAGCCTGAGATAGGTTTTCTGTGTAACTTACAATGTATATATATATGTGTGTGTGTCTGTGCTTTACCTGTGGTGTATACACACACACACACACACACACGTGTTCATGATCTGCACACATAGTCCCTGACTGTTCAGCTTGTGGGTTTTTTACTTCAACGGTGCAGAACTGCAGGGTTTCATGGGATGGAACCCCGTCGTAAGTGAGGAGCATCCATCTGTGTATTGCTTTGTTTTCCCCTTAGGGTGTGTGCACTCACTGGAGAGAGTGGGGTGGGAAGTGAGGAGTCGTACCCCCAAGGGGTGATTTCCCACGCTCCCTCTCTCTGTCTCTCTTTCTTCAGCTAGTGCATGCACCCTGAGGCAAAACCCTCTAAAACAAAAAGGAGGAGGCCTGTAGGTGGGCCCAGGTGGCGTTAGTAGACGGTGACTTGGACAGACGAGATCTAAGCCCCGGTTCTGCTGCTCCCTGGGTCGGTGACTCGGGCAGGGTTACTTCACTTTCCTGTAGAATGGGCAGGGTCTTTGTGTCAGGAGGACGGGATGAAGTAGTCACCCAGAGCGCAGCTTGTGCAGCGTGTGTAGGGAGCCCGCTCGGTTAGCGTGTCTGACTCCATTGGTTGTCTCGTAAGCAACCAGGACAGCGCTCGAGGGGCTCCAGCACCTACGGGGCCTAGTGTCTGCAGGGACTCCTGGGACCTGCCCCTTGGGCACAGAGCAGGCCTGTGTGTGTCAGAGAAGCAGGAGGAAGGCAGGAGAGGGCCAGCCCACGGCATGGTGCTTAAGGTGGCTGGATCCCCAAGGTCAGCTGCATGGTCTGAGTCCCAGATCCAGCTGCTTGGAAACATGCCAGCTGTACGTGCATGGCCACATGCCGAACCGGAGAAAAGGAGCAGGCGCCATGCTTCCTCTCCCTCCCTCCATGTCTCTCTGGTGAGCACACGTGCCCTCTGACGAATGAAAAAGGAAGAGAGGGCAGGAGCGAGGTAAGAACAAGAAATAGGCCCCTCCTGGGGGAGTAGATTATGGAGAGATCTACTTTCTGCTTTCTGTAGGTGTGACATCTTAGGCGTCGGGGAGGTCATGGTGTATTGTTCTACGTTTCTCCATGCAAGAATGCGTCATGACTTTCCCGACGACCCAGTAGGTGTTTAGGATGGACAAGTATGATTTAATTTGGGAGGAAGAGGAAACGCCCATATTCTCATCCTCATCATTGGGCATTTGGCTTTGGTAAAACGAGGGTTTGGTCAAGAGGGTGCAGGGTCACGCTGCATCCTTGTCTCACTGCAGCGATGGACCTGGCCCAGGAAGGCAGCACAGTGGAGGCCAAGATCTACGACACGCTACAGTGGCAGGTGAGGGTGGCAGGGTGTGGGGAGGAGGGTGCAGGGGTGCAGGGTGCTGGGTGTCACTCTCCTTTACTGTCTCCACCCCACAGATCTGGACCCTCCTGCCTGGGTTCTGCACGAGGCCCACGGACGTGGCTACCTCCTTCAGAGGGCTAGCGCGGACCCTGGGCACGGCCCTCAGTGAGCGTGCGGACCTGAGAGTCGCCGTGTGCCAGGCCCTGCGCACCCTTATCACCAAGGGCTGTGAGGCAGGCAGGTGTGGGCCCCGGCTGGGCTGGGGGTGTGCGACCGCTCCTCCACCTGGCCCCTACCCTGACCTGCCACACTCACCAGGCGTGGCTGTCCTTTGCTGCTTTTGCCGGAGCCACAAGGACTTGGCAGGGCCAGAAATGGCCCTCCTCTTCCCCCTGCCCTGCAGCGTGCGGATTGCTGCTGTGGAGTTGTGCATTCGACATCTAGTGTGGTGCTGGCGCTTTGCTGGCCTGCAGGACGGGGGCCCTGAGTGGCCACACAGCCTGCGGCAACTTATTCTCTGCCCTGGCTTCAGCATCTCCCATCACAAACGAGCCCCAGCCTATGGGTTCCAGATTTTGCCACAGGATCCCCTGAAAGGATCCCTCTGGGCAGTAGCCCCACAACCAGAGGTAGGGTCACCTCCTGTCCCTTTAATGCAAACTTGGGTCCCTTACAGAGGCTGACCGTGCCGAAGTGAGCCGCTTTGCCAAGAACTTTCTGCCAATCCTCTTCAACCTGTACGGACAGCCTGTCGCATCTGGGGACTCTCCAGCCCCGCGCCGGGCTGTGCTGGAAACCATCAGAACTTACCTGACCATCACTGAGTCCCAGGTGGGCCCTGGGGGAGGGAGAGGGTGCATTCAGGTGGGCTAGGGCTGGGAATGAGATCCTTCGCATCGCTGGGGCCTGAGACCGCAGGGCTGTGTCTGTGGCCACAGCGTGGCTGGGCTGGAGGCTTCGTGCTGGCGGAGAGGCACCTGTGGGCGCTGCGGCCGCTCTGTCTCCCCTCAGCCATGCCCTCTTCTTGTCCTCTGGGCTGCCAGCTGGTGAATGGTTTCCTGGAAAAAGCCAGTGAGAAGGTGCTTGACCCTGCCAGCTCTGACTTCACCAGGTGACGTGCTCTCGGCTCCCCTCCCTTAGCAGGGCCCCCAGGGGTTGGAGGTTCATGCCGCAGTTACTTGGGGGAAGCCCTGAGCTAGTGAGTGCCCAGCTCTGCCAGGACACCTGACTGCCTCCTCAGAGAAGTCAGAGGATGTTTTAGCCACCTAGGGAGGAACAAGGGCCCTGGGAACACATTGCCTGTGCTCTCATCCCAGCTCCACCAGTTACAGGCTGTGTGACCTTGGACAAGTGACTTAGCCACTTTGTACCTCTGAGTTCTCTGTGCAGAGTGGGCGTGGCAGTAGCTAGAACATGGTTGCTGCCAGGATCGAAGCGTTGATACGCGTGAGCAGTGCTTGTGCACGCCAGTACTCAAGGACGGACCAACGGTGGTCATGGCTCATAGGCTCGTTTGAGGCCGTAGCCCTCACCCTGACTCCTCCCATGTAAGAGGACTGATAGTCTGTGCCCTCTTCCTGCCCCTAATCCCCTCTGGTCCCCTGCCCCAAGCAGACTGTCTGTCCTGGACCTGGTCGTGGCCTTGGCCCCCCATGCCGACGAAGCTGCCATCAGCAAGCTCTACTCCACCATCCGGCCCTACCTGGAGGTGAGCCTCACAGTCATGCTTGGAGGAGAGGGGGCTCCTTGGAAAGGGGTCTGGCTTCTTTTCTCCACCCCAAGGTCAGGACACTCCCTGTGGTCCTGCAAGGGCTCCCCTTGTCCTCTGCCTGGCCAGTTGTCACGGGTACACACCTGTGTCCCGGCCTCAACTGCCGAGGTGTGGAACCGAGGCCGTGGCCCTTTGTTGCTGCACTCACAGGCTTGTCCCACACTGACTTCAGTCCTCCCAACCCTGTCAGGCTGCTTCAAGGGGCCCTGATAAAAGGCCCCACAGGTGCCTTTGCACGTGCTAGGTCGCCAGCTTGACCAACTCTGTGGGTAATGACCGTGCAGAACTCAGCTCAACAGTGACCTCTGGGGAGCCGTGCCCACTGCCAGGGCTGAGTGGCAGTTCCCTGGAAGTGGGAGGGTGTTCTGGGTGAGCATGCAGGTGGCCACGGCAGTCCGGGGCGAGGCCACCTCTCCTCTGGAAAAGTGTCAGGAGGAGTGACTGCCACTTTGGAACAGCGGCCTAGAGGGTGTGCTATTAGAGGGCCGAGTGTGGTGGACGGCTGGCTTCTCACTGGCCGCAGCCTCTTACTGGCCATGCTCGCTGGCCCAAGTGGGAGGGTGTTCTGGGTGAGCATGCAGGTGGCCACGGCAGTCCGGGGCGAGGCCACCTCTCCTCTGGAAAAGTGTCAGGAGGAGTGACTGCCACTTTGGAACAGCGGCCTAGAGGGTGTGCTATTAGAGGGCCGAGTGTGGTGGACGGCTGGCTTCTCACTGGCCGCAGCCTCTTACTGGCCATGCTCGCTGGCCCTCTCTCTACCTTGAGGGCTGCAGGCGGCCCCCGTCCATGGTAGCCACTCTGTGAA